GCACAAGTGCTCCTAAAAAGAAAAGTAAGCGTAGAGCCCTGCATGAAACATAAACTGTTCATTTTAATTAGTTAGTTTGTATACGGGTCATCAGATCTACAGTTCCACCCGTTCTAAATCAGACACAGAGATAAAGCAAGAGCGAGACTGTGTGTGCAAAGCTGTGAGTTTAATTACTTCAAAACAGTGATGTTGAGTATGTTTCTGTGTGTGCAACTGACTGTATGTGTGACATGTATTTTGTACAATAACATCTGAATTGTTATTTTAATGCTGTATGAGATGACATTATTGAGCCTTGAGAGTCCATGCATTCCCTGTGTGAAGCTCATCAGAATGTCAAAGAAATGTTCAAACACAGCGGTGTGGCGTGATGAACACCTGGATGTGAAGCCGCTCATTCTCCTGGATCTTCTTCTGCAGGTCTTCATCAAACACGCTCTGTGTCTGCAGGCTGACCTGAGAGGGCGAGTCGCCTTTATTCTGCACACACACACACAAACCAACAATCACTGATGATGCACATCATACGTCCTCGCTCTCTCACGTGTCTGAGAGTAACAGAGCATTTCATTTGGTCCCTGTGATTTCTAAAACCTCTCCTAATCCTGTGGCTGGACAGAAGAGCTCCTGATCTGCTCATTTACGTCTCATCAGCTCTGACAGAACTGTGTGTGTGTGTCTCATGACTCTGATTGTGTGTATGTTTGAGTACGGCAGACCAAAAACATCAGCTAACCTGTGAGGACCAGCCAACGGTCACCGAGAGGAAATATGAAATATGTTTTAATATGTGCAGAGGGGTTTTTGTGAGGTTTAGAAGATGGAACATGTCATGTATGGAGCAGTCAGCATGTGTGTGTATGATCACTTTGCTCTTCTTGCTCTTGCTCTCTGACAGCAGCAGCTCCTCCTGCAGCAGCTCCACTCGTTTGGTCAGCTGCTGGTTCCTGAAGCTCAGGCTGTCCATCTCCTGCTCCACCTTCCTCGAGCTCTGCTCCTTCTGCTTCAGCTCATCCTGCACACACACACACACAC